AGGTTTAAGCATAAGAAAATTTTGGGAAAACCTTCTGGAAAAGTCGCTAGCGGCTCAACAGATGTACACAATGTTGTATGTAAAAAAAAAGATCATAGCTGCGTTGATTTTGTGTATCGATGAAGTCGGTAAAAAAATATTTAAACAAAAAATAGAGCGAGCTTAAACAATTTGAAATAATGCCTGCTGTTAGACGAATAGGAATTGGACGTGCAACATTGACTATTATGTTGTTAAATTGTGTTGACCAGCGAAGCGGGCACAGGACCTCTAGTTTCTATATAGATTTTTCGATCTTTCCTATGACAGCTATAAGATATAGTTGTCCGATTTTTATGAAACTTTTTTCTCAATATAAGAGTTGTTAAAAAACTTGATATTCAAAAAATCATGCTCATGGGATAAAAAACAACGATGTTATCAATTTATTTCTATTAATTCTGTATTCTGTATTTTTTGATCTCTCCTATGGCAGCTATACGATAGAGTTATCCGATTTTGATAAAATTTAATCCGAAATTCAATAGTAGTTAGAAAACGCCATCTGAAAGAATTCAAGTCGATCTGATCAAAAACAACGGCCTGAGAATTTTTTATTTCATTCTCTCGTATTGGAGCTATCCGATATAGTCGGCCGATCCGGCTCGTTCCGACTTATATACTGCGTGCAATAACTACACACCTTTTGGGAAAGTTTCAGCAAGATAGCTTTAAAACTGAGAGACTAGTTTGAAGAGAAACAGACAGACGGACAGACGGACAGACGGCCAGACGGACAGACGGACAGACGGACAGACGTACAGACTAGACTTCTGCATGAATGCATCCAAATCGACAAATGAATCACTTATTCTAAATGTGGGCACACTATTTTTTCTGCACAGTATATTTGGGTGTGAGTGAATAGGGTAGTATTGTCTGTTTTGATTGACAGTAGTCTCACTCATTCCATAGTTGTATAGCTGTTAATGAGGACAGCAAAATTGGTGTGCAGTAGTCAACGCACTGTACAGTCCCTGCAGTTCTGGCTGTCACCTGGTGTCTCGTGGCATTCAAGCAATCAATGTGTAGGAAAGGAAAAGGGATATTCCTAAGTTTCCCTCTCTTTCTCACTCTTATAATACGATTTCGTTGCTTGCACCCGACGGCGACCCGACTCCAAATTTGTCTTCTATTCTTTCGTTTTTCTAATTGCACTGTTGTCATTCTCCGTTAGAAACAAAAAATTGGTTTTCGGTGGAAAATATGGCTGAGGGGCGCTCGACTTATGTATACTCTTTTGATGCTAAAGTTCTTCATATATTAGGTATAATATATATATATAATCATATATATTAAATATATTTTATAAACATTATTTAATTTATTGAACCAAGATAACCATAACACAACATTGATTGCAAATATAGATATAATATAACTCGCGTGTCATATATGGTCGGTTATACCCAAAAAAGAAGGGTATACTAAAAGGGTGAAAAATAATATTGAACTGCTCATTCTTTTGCGTTGTGCGTTGACAATTAGTTGTGAAATTACTTAATTTGTGCAATGGGCAGCGGAATCGTTTAAAAATCATGTAAGTGTCGTTAAGATTACAAAAATATTATGTATTTTACTACAAACTTATTTAAATCTTTTTAGGATTCAGCCTGTGTGTACGAAAAATTCGTTTGAAAGGTAAGTTTGCTTTAAATTAAAAAAAGTAATACATATATAATATGTAATAATAAAAATATTTTTGTACCATAGATGGACGCAAAACAGCCGTTGTCCTGCAAATATTCCTCATAAATGGTAAACAAAAACTTTCTAATTTCATATTATTTATGTACTTATCCCTTATGTTACAAAATAAGATTTATTAATAAAAAAAAAAAAATAATATATATATATTGTTTTTCATATGAATTTGGGGATGACATTTCAGACATTGGCATAGATGATTTCACTAAGGGTGCCCTCGCAAAAGCCATCGATGACAACATCGCCTCTACGCCATCTACGATATCATCGATGTCTTATACGAATTTTCTGCATACAAAATTCGTATAAGCCATCGATGCCTCGCTCGATGACTCGGACAAAATGGTCATCGAGAGCGACATGCATGTCAAATCCTAGAATGCCATACAAAACTTTATATGAAGTGACATCAGTGCGACACCAGGTGCTACGGACACTGGCATCGGTGGGTCGTCGTCCATGTCATCGACGACAAGCCACTTTTGGAACTGCAGGGGTGTTTTGGTGTGCAGTTGACTTACTGTACAGTGAGTGAAACTTCATGACTGCTTCATACACACATATATGAATAGTTCTCGTGTGTATGTATGTCCGATTTAAAAATTGATTTGTTTTTTCGTTTTAAATGTATTTATATTTATTTATATATAAAATAAAGAAATTAGAAATTATTAATATTTAAATTTAAACTAATTATAATAATTATTTTATGTTATTAAAGAATCTATATTGAAGTTATTAATATTGAAATGAAGGAACAATATTTTGTTTACCATGTGGCAATTTTGGTCAGTTTTTCGGAACATACATTTTTGGCAACAGAAACTTACTGCACTCATCTGCACAGTTGTTCACAGTCAACATACAAGCTGTACAGCGTGTTTAAAAAAGGAAAAATATAGTACTCCTTACGAAGAGTACAACCATATACTGAACTCACACGAAGTGAGTACACTAAAAATGTTGTGCCATCTTCTTCTGACCTATAGAGTATACTGTACAGTAAAGAATGAGTGCAGTGTTTTTGAAGACACTACACTACTGTACAGATCTGTTATGCCACAAATGAGTGCATTCATGCAGAAGTCTAGTACAGACGTATTCTGATTCTACTCGTGATGCTGATCAAGAATATATATACTTTATGGGGTCTGAGGTGTCTCCTTCACTGCGTTGCAAACTTCTGACTGAAATTATAATACCCTTTTGCTCTGCAAGGGTATAAAAAGTGTTGACAAATAAATGTGTTAGCGATTTGATTGACTACCAAAGAATTGAATTTAATTCTGTGGTTTTTGCTTGAATTGCAAACGAAATAATGATTTATTTTATCCTTAATTAGTATTGGTAAGTGTGTTACTGGAGATAAGTTGGTATTTGAAAAAGGGGTAAAACCATAGATTTGTAATCTTTTAAATTTGTGTTAAAAATCTTTTTAAAATTATAACCGCATAGGCATGATGTTTTTCTTTTTAATGCTAAGATTAGTTTTGGTAGGGCTATCTCGGTCCTTAACTTATCAGTCCAGAGGCCCGTGCGTCTGACTCGTGTTCTTTGGGCTAAATTTGGCATTAGATTTGATTGCGTACTCTAATTTTATACGTTACACGCACAGCGTGATATTAAAGTATGTTTATGAAACTCTGACAATTGACGCAAAAGGCTGACCACGCCCCTTCGCTTTATGGCAATTAAATGACACTTTGGCAATGAATAAAAGAGGCGTCGGGGGGGATGGTGAAATTTGTGGGCGGGAAAATGCAAATTGCCAGACATGTGCGTGCTGGACTTTATGGTCTTGTTTCTTTTGTTTTACGCGACGTACACGTGTCGGCAATTGAAATAGGAAAGCGGCTATGGCCCAGACACCCACGAGCCCATTAAAATCACACATAAAGAACATGGAAAAAAACAAGGGGAAGCGCTTCCGGAAGGGAGATTTCAACGACCGTCGTCTCATGTGTTATGCTAATTTCACTTTTATTGTTCTCTGCCCGCCTTTTGCTGCCATTTTAGTCGGCAGCAGACGATTAAAGCCAAACAGGAAATCAGCCATCGTTCCCCGTTTACCGTTAGTGTCGCAGGCAGCGGCGAAAGCCAAAGGCCAATGAATTGCCTTTCCATTACGGCAACGGCAAGAAAGACCGAGCGAAAATATATCTTTAGAAACAGTAGGTTCTCGGGCGGTGAATAAAGTAATCTGTATAATTCCTGAGTTTATAAATTTTTAGAATAAATAATTTAATTAAGTTTAATTTAATAAGCTTAACATCAAAATATTTAATAAAGTGGTAATAACTTAATTTATCGTGGTAAACAATCTTGTTTTTGAAGTGTTCAAATACTTTCATTTTTTAAACAAGAAAATACAATATTATGAAATTTAGGTTCACGTAGATTTTATATTTTGAATTTTGCCTGTGTGTGTATGTATGTATATAAAGATAGCCGTCAGTGCAAGCACAACTCATTGAAACACACAAGCAGAGCAGAAGGAGAGGAAGCAAAAGCAATCGGCTGTAACAAAATTTCCGACACGTGCGACAAAATTGCCTTCCATGGGGAGGTGGAAATGCGAGGTGGTGGGGCAAGGCCCGAGGGTCCGGATTTAGGCAACCAGAAAGGCACGACCAAAACAAACCCGACCCAATCCCGAAAACCTACCCCTGGGGTTCCCCCGTTTTCTGGCAGTGTTCCTCAACATTGTTGCAGCAACATGTTTCGATCCATTGAGATGCGTTGGCGACTTTTAAGCGGATGTGTGTCAACCATTTTTGAGTGGTCCTATAAATAGTTTTATTTTGATGGATGCTTGAACATAAGTATGTACAAATAAATGCTTCGTCTGGCCGCGATATTTTAATTGGTACTGTTGTTTCTTCAGATAATGCCAGCGATTGTAATTTAGTGATTATTTTGCGTACAAAGGTCCAGTTTATAAAAAGTGACTAATCAGTTTCAACGTAGATGATTAAATCTTTCAGTGCAGGACGGAGAATTTAATAACACAAAATATTAACTTTTAAATATTTGGAATAATTTCTAAAATTATTATTACCAATCTTATTATTACATTTTTTTAACTAAGTTATAAATATTAAACTGTTTTTACTATTCATTATATTTTTTTTTTTTTTTAATAATTTTATTAACTATATTAAACATTCTCTGCCACTTTTGCCGGGTGAACGGCGGCTGAGCTGCCATTAAAACGTCGCTGGTTCGACGTACCACGTTCATTCTGCTTTGGACGGTCGAGGCGTTCGGAACACGGGTAGAAAACGGGAAAAGCGACGAAAGCTTCGAACACGAGCGTATACGTATTTTTCGCATTCACAATCGCGTATTCGCATATCCGTGTTTGCTGTTTGCCAGCGCGTGTGTACCACTGTGTGTGTGAGTGGGTGTAGTTGTGTTGGTGCGACGGCCACACGCGCAACGAAAGCGAAAGTTTTGTTTGGCGCGCGTGTTGCCATTGGCGTCTGCGAATTTGCCTCCACCTAGAATAGATTAAAAGCGTGTGAAAACAAATAAAAAAATCAAGTAAAAAAATAAGATAATGCTCATTATTCCCAATGAGGCTGCATTAAATTAAGGGAATCTAGAGCGGAAGAAACACGACATCAACATCATTCCTGCAAATACCCGGTAAGTCGGCAGGCCTCGAGAAAAGGTTGCCCATAAATCTCCCGGCATTAGCATTAGCATTTGTGTGCCACACGTGCGGCGCGAAATAATAATACGAAAAAAAAGAAAATTGCACTTGACAGCCGACATTCGATGCTGAAAGCTCTCCTTCCAACTAGAGAGGCTGCCTCTGTTTTCTGTTTTCTTTTTTTTGGCCCTCGAGAATGCCAGATTTTTTCATGCTTGCCTCACCTTCTGAAGGACGAATTTAGGTCAGGATCCTTGGGACTTATCACATGACTCATGCCACGGCCTTTGGCCTTTTGTTGACTCTTCCACCGCTTGCAACTGCATTTTGGCGGAGCCACATGGCGTATGCGCAATATTGATTTCTTGTTTTACTCTTTATTTTATTTGAAGTGGTTAAACTTTTAAAGTAAGCAGGGTAGAAATCTTAACATAAGCGAGGCAAAGAAAGCCACATGTCAATAAGTATAAAGGTGTTTGGATAAGTTGAAAGCCCCCAATGTCAGGCTTCTACAAATGTATTTCCATAATTTATATTCCCTTGGTTTCGGGAACTTTTATTGTTTACACAATCCCAGTCGCACTCAATTTTTTCACAAGCAAAAAGTGTAAGCTAAATAAAACAAAAACTTTGCTTGCCTTGGTAAAGCAATAAAGCCCTTTATTTATTTCTTCGCTGTCGAGTTCCAAGAACTAAGATATAAAGAACTTCCTTCCTTTAGTTAAATGGTCTTTGGTTTTCCCTCAGTCGTAAACCCGTAAGAAAGCGTGTGAAAGAATTTTTTCAAATAAAATAAAATAGAAGTAGAGCGATTGTTTTTGGCCAGTTTTGCAGCACTTTTTTACGGCGTTCTGAAAAGAAGCGATGGCTCAGCTAAAGTGAATCAAGCTGTGACTCCCACAATTGACAGCTGTTTGTTTATTTATTTATATTCTTACTGTGAAACCAATGCATTTGTTTAACTAAGATTTTTGGGCCTGGCAAGATGTTGTCTGAAAAGGGGCCTGAATTTTAAGTGGTGCTTAAGGGAAAAAAAATCAATGATTTCCTATTGACAGTGGAAAATTATTTTAACGGTTCACATATTGCTTATGCTCATTGTCATTATAGGAACATTATTTTTTATTTTTCTAAAAATTCTTGTTAATTTTGTCTTGGGCCTTTAGCGAACAGGAAGTTACCAAAACCCTGTGTGCACATTAAACAGGTACCTTCCATATCTATATCTCCGATAGGTAACTCTTGCGCGTGTTCGGGGGCCGCTCCATTCATGACACCCCATGACGCCCATAATCGTAGATTTATCATTTTTGCTCGAACGCGCGCCCCGCATTACAACTACAAACAAAGCAGTAAAAAGAATAAAGAAAAAAATGCGCGACCCATCCGATATATAAATATAAACAAACAACAACACGGGTCGGGGAAAAATATACGAAGCTGATATGCGGATCGTTCGGTTTGGCCCCAAATGTGGAGAAAAGAGAGCGCGCGCAGCTTGAACGGAGCAACACGTGCGCCGTTAATTCAATAAAAAAATATATACACAAAAAATAATAAATAATAGCTGCAAAAAAAGAAGAGCAAGAGCAACTCTCACACTCACACTTCGCTGTATTCTCTAGGCCACTGGGCGTGTGGGAAAGACAAAGATAGAGCTATAGCATAAAAGTTCATTAACGGCATGTGAGCTTTCCTCCGTGTGTTTGTGTGGTTTGTGTGTTCATTGTTTTTGTTCGACTCTCTCGAGGCTTGTGTTTTAGATTAAGTGGAGAGCGGCTTTTATCTCTCTAGCGCTTACTTGCCTAAGTACACTGCTAAAAATTCGATCAGACTAAGAGCATTTGGGTTTTTAACTTCAATGTTTATGAAAAAATTAAAAATTTATATAATTACAATGTTTTCTAATTAACAAAACAAAAAAGTTTTTAGTCACTTTAAAAAATGCCTTTATGAAATGTCAAGAAATAAAGAACAATTCGATTATTTTTTGATGTGTGAAACCCAAGTTTATTGCTCGTTTTTGTTGATTTTTCTCTCTTGTCTAGTCGCTTTGCTCGTGTCTATGAAATTATCGCCAAGTGGACTGCCGCTGCCGGTTTCTCAGTCACCGCCGACTGCGATTGAATGACAAAGTCTTCTTTGTTTTTGCGTGTGTTTTTCGGTTTTAATTTATGCAGGCAACTACAAAATTAATTCTCTTTTTCGCTTGGCTTTTGGTCATGTCGTTTGGCATCTGTCTGTGTTTGGCCGCACGTGTGCGCCGATTTGCGCCTGTGCTTGTGGGGGGCTTTATTTTAAACTGTAACGTCTGTAAATACTAACGGCTTCTGTGGGTGCCCCATGAATGCCAAATGTGAAACACGAGACGCCATAACAATAAAAAATTGCCTAATTTCCTATGGTATAATTAATTCGGCAAATGGCAAATTAAGGGGATCACACTGTGAGATCCACTAAGATTTATTCAAATCCTATGGCATAAATTTACGGTTTCCGGTGGGAACTTAATGGTTATAAATAGAACAAACATTTTTGTTCAGCTTCAGTGGGGTATATATGTACATATGTATAGGAACACACCCAAGTTCGTTTAACTATGTATGTCTCTAGATGTATGACGTATACGCAATGTTTACCAAATTATTTGGTTGACATCGGAATTTCCCGTGATTACCGGTAGCTAGGTTACATAACTCTAGCACAAAGTTATTAAAACGACAGGTACATTCAAACACAATTAAAGTTAAACTGGACAAACTAATGGAATCTCATACATTTTTTATATTTTGCATGGGAAATAATATAGTTGCTTTCTTTAGTCTAATTAACACAAAACTAATGTCACAAAGTAAATTGGAAAAACTTAAATTTTTATCAATATAGAGACATATAAATTATTAAAACAATAAATGAAAATGTATTTTACTTTTGGTAATATTTTTAAATATTTTTCGGTGTGTTAGCTATCAACAGAAGTGGCCTCTTGAACAGTCCTACGACAGCTGTTTGCACTTGGCCAACTGGATGGCCGGCAACTGGACAAACACTTCGTTCGTTACCGAGCAATATAGCTAATTGCTGACCCAATAACGAGAGACACACGACGCCTTAATAAAAATAAATGTAACCGTAAATGAGTGCACGCGCCATTATTTGTGTTGGGAAAAACTCGTTTCAGGAAAAGTAAACCGACCTTCCCCATTCCCCATACTCCATTGCCGATATCTATATCCATATTTCCCTCCTATAAACGAGCCACACGTGCGGCTAAGACAAGCAATATGCGCTCAATGGCTGTTGGCATCTATTGTTTTTCCTTCTCCCGTTTCGCTATACATATATTTTTTGCTCGTTTTATGACCACATTAGCGAATTATATTTCACTGCCAGTCAAAGCGTAGAGGCACAGACTAAGCAGACATAAATTAAACAAAGGCGAGGCTTTCGGGGGCTTGGGCCAACACGCGCTGCTTCTGGTTTCTTTTGGTAATTCTCTTCTCTTTGTTTTTTGGGGATGCCCCTTAGACGATTGCTGTCGGTGAACTGTTTTGGCCAGTCTTTTGTAATGACAACTTGGGGTCAGACTGGACGGCTAACTTCAAAAAGAGTTGATTTCCGACTGACAAATAAGTCAAGACTGATCCTCCATTGTCTGCATGTTTTTTAGTCTGAATCTCATGCTTGTGTGATTCTGGTTTCCTGAAGAGATTAATTGCCAACGATAATGTTTTCAAGCATAATTGCGCTTATGTATCAATTGACCTTTATCTGCTTTATGAGATCGTTGAAAGCAAAAGGAATTATGTTGCCAGAAACACAAAAACTTTTCCCCGAGAAAACCCATTTGTTCTTTTTGTAAAGAAGTTTTTCTTTGCATCGCCCTGTTGCTTGGCAAACCGAGACACACGTGCCCTCAAAAGTGATTAATTAATGGTAATTGTTGTGCTTAACATTTTTATGACGTGCCAGAGAAACGAGCCGAACAGAATTATTGCTGACAAAATGTCAAACACTCCTGAAAGCCAAAATTTATGTTCTCGAATCATTAAATTCATGCAAAATCGAGCTGAACAATAGATGGGCTCTGTCTATTCTACCCACGATCCAATTAGCCGTCACAACCGAACGTAATAAAAGGCGAACAATAAAGTTGGAGATATTCCGACAGACAGTTTAAATTTCAAACATTATCTCTGGTTTCGATATGCAAAAAACCATGGCGGTCTATTAATTAGTGACGCACGACCTGTATCAATCACATTCACGTTTTATGTTTTCGGCAGATCTGGTTTCGCCTTGTGGGCTAAACAATAATATTTTTTATAGCCTTAAGCATTCAGACGTTTAACTAATTAGGTTGTTGATTTATTTTTGTTGAGCTGGTAATGGATCTTAATAAAATAGTATTAAAAAATCATAAAAAGAATTTTTGCAAGTGAAATATATATTTTATTAATTTTTATACCCTTGCAGAGCAAAAGGGTATTATAATTTCAGTCAGAAGTTTCCAACGCAGTGAAGGAGACACCTCAGACCCCATAAAGTATATATATTCTTGATCAGCATCACGAGCAGAATCGAAATATAGCTGTACGTCTGTCCGTCTGTCCGTCTGTCCGTCTGTCCGTCTGTCCATCTGTCCGTCTGTCCGTCTGTCCGTTTCCGCGCAAACTAGTCTCTCAGTTTTAAAGCTATCGTGCTGAAACTTTCCCAAAAGTTGTGTAGTTGTTGCACGCAGTATATAAGTCGGAACGGGCCGGATCGGCCGACTATATCGGATAGCTCCAATACAAGAGAATGAAATTAAAAATTTTCACTCTGTTGTTTTTGATCAGATCGACTTGAATTCTTCAAGATGGCGTTTTCTAACTGTAATTGAATTGCGGATTAAATTTGAACAAAATCGGATAACTCTATCATATAGCTGCCATAGAAGGGATCAAAAAATATATATAGAATTAATGGAAATAAATTGATAGCATCGTTTTTTTTATCCCACGAGCATGATTTTTTGAATATGAAGTTTTTTAACAACCCTTATATTGAGAAAAAAGTTTCATAAAAATCGGACAACTATATCTTATAGCTGCCATAGGAAAGATCGAAAAATCTATATAGAAATAACGGAAATAAAATTATAACATCGTTGGTTTTTATTTGATAAGCATGATTTTTGAAATTTAAAGTTTTCTAACGACTCTTGAATTACGAATTAAATTTGACAAAAATCGGACAACTATATCATATAGCTCCCATCTATAGTCGAAAATGAATAGAAAAATCGTCTTAGCTTCGATGTTGTTTAGCCTTTATGTATTTTTTTCGACATATTTGATGACTGCAAGGGTATATAAGCTTCGGCTTGCCGAAGCTAGCTTCCTTTCTTGTTTAGATCGCTTTTAACAATTGTGAAAAACGTTAGAAAAATGTTGTCATTTTTTGCACTCTCATTCCCCCCACGGCAGATGGCAAGCCCATTTTTGTTATTTTTTATTTAACTATAACCGTATCTAAATACAATTATGACGCATTTTGATTGCCTTTTGGTTGATTTTTAGTTTGTTTAGTTTCTGTTGTCCCTGTTGCTGTCTGGCTTTCTGGCGCATGTGCTGAGATAAGAACAGAAATTAGCACTTTGATGACTTGACTTGCCCATGGGGTAACATGGTCACTTTTGCACTGGTCGCAAATAAGCAATAAAAATTCAACAACCGAACGGAAAATACCCTGGATATTTTGTTAACCTGAACATTTGAAAAAGTGAAAAAAATAAATTTGTTCATTTTTATTTCATTATTTATATTTAATAAAAAAACTCAAGCTGCAGCTACTTTTGTACTATTTATTTACCTACTGAATGTACCCGTTGGTAAAATAAAGAGGGGTAAAAGCTAATAAATACGCAAATCTCGGGTAAACATAGTCGATGTAAACACTAATTGTAAGAAACAGTCATAAAGTACACATGCTGCGGAAAATTCTATTCGCAAATTTGGATGGGACTTTTATTTGCTCACAACGTCTTCAAAATGTCGGCGCGTGTAAAGTTGTGAGATAAGGTCAAAATTAGTGGAATTCCCCATAGAGATTAGAGGCCCACGGGCGTGACTGTAATTGGAAAGGGAAACTTAATATAACACAGTAGGCTGGCAAAATATTAAGTATACGCCCCGGAGGACCGTGAGTTTTATTACCTGTGCTTGCCAGCACTTGTAAGCTCAGCTGCTTGGGAAACTGTTTATCTTAATAAAAGACGAATCGTTTGGGTTATGAATATTTTAAGTTATATTTTGGTTAATGCAGTAACTGTAAGATGATGGAGGAAAACATTTAGAAAGATGAGACCCCAGTGAAATTTAAAACGCTTTCTGGGCACACAAACAAGTGAGGGCAAAGCTATAGCTCAGGGAAATACGTGATGGCTTACATATGTTTTTGGCCACACAGAAAATGACTTCGAGAAATCTTTTGTGCAAAGAAATAAGTGAGGCTTCGAAAAGGGTTATATTTATTAAGAACAGGACGGAAAAAAGAGTTACAAATATATACAAAACCATGAAGTAAATTTTACTTAGATATTTTTCTTTGTGTACTCATGTCTGGGCTAATGTTAAGGGAGTGCTGCTTCTCAAGTGAACAATGAGGGGCACTGTAGAGCCCGCAGCGTTTAGCGTTACGCATGACAAATAACTTTCAAAACGGCAACGCCTTTGCAGACGAGCACACGCGTACTTGTAAGATAAAAAAAAACAGTTCCCTGAACTCCAATTTCTTGTCGGACACGTTGACAATATTTGGCTGGGTCTTGTCTCTCTGATGTAGCCGCCGGTCACAACAGTCTGCCGCGCAAATTAAAAAAAAAAAAAATACAGGGAATCCAAAAGAACCAACTGAAAAGAGAAAATCAAATTTCCCTTCCGTTTCGTTGGCGTGCGAAAAGTCATTGCCATAAGCAGATTCCTTTGTTTTGTTTTTACTTCTTGCTTTGACAGCTGACAACAGTGCGTGTGTTTTTTTTTGTTGTTTCCTCCTTTTTTGTGGCGTGTCGTGTTAAACAATTATTGGCTAATTTGTAGGCACGCAGTGGGAAATCTCATCAAAGTTACTTGATTGACTTGACCCCCAACCTGCAGGTGGCAGAGCTACAGGTGTTTGTGCCGAAACGTGTCTCAAATTGTTGCCCAATCCCCGTTTAGATACTAAATCTGCTCTACGCTTTAAGCGCTGTACATTTACTTTGCTCCTGGCTTTTCCGCAAGAAGATCTCCTTTTTCCCTAGAGATTTCTTATCACTCTTACCACCCTGCAACATTTTTCGTTTTAGGCTCGCACGCGCCGCATTAAATTTGCCACTGGGGCAATTCGTTGAGGCTTAGTATTTGTTACGCACATTTTGGTCTTTTGTTACAGACATTTTCCCGGCCGCCACTTAAAGCATAAACTTGCACGATGGCTGCACAGGGAAAATAATATTTCTATTTAGATGAAGTGTTGATTATGAAGGATATCATCCATCAAAAATTTTTTTTTTTTTAAGTAACTATGGGTATATCTACCCCTGTTTTTATATATAATGTATTAAAGAAAAGAAAATATTCCTTAATTGATGGGAACCTTTTTCTCAGTGAACTGAGCAATCGCCTCATCTCGGATCAGCCTTAGAAGCTTTAACTATCGGATGACGGATAAGGCATAAATAATGAAAAGTAATTTCAGCCCATATTGGCGCATTGACATCGGCCTGAAAACGAGCGGCAAGAGGGCGAGAGGAAGGGAGGTTGTGAAAGCCTTAGCACCCACAAGTATTTTAAATATTGCGGGCTGGGGCCAATGGAACTGGAGGACAGGTTGGCGAAATGCCGTCAGGGGCCACAAACATTTCATCATCGTCGCAAGCGCTTTTACCAAATGTAATTACACTCAAGAGATACACGTGCCGCCAACAGCCTGCCGTTCCTTGGGCGTTTTCAATTTGAATTTGACTGCCGACAGGCGGGGCTCATCTTCCCTCATCTCCTGTCAGCCGAACGAGCGAACCACTTGAGCAATTTCGCGTGCCCATCAATATTCCGGCCCACCCCCGCAAAACTCGCTTTAAGTTTGTTTACCTTTGGCGATGGATGGTCGTTAGCCAGGATTTGGAACCCACCTAATGAGCTTTGGTCGGCGGTCGGGTGCGTCATCTTAAATTCCCTTTCGGTGTCAAGGTTGCTCCAAAATGTCAACTCGGAGATCGAAGGCGACTTGCACTTGGGGCTCTGAACTCGGTTCGAGTGATTTATGTAGTTATAATGGCTGAGTCTGCCAGATCTGGGATAAGACGATTACTTTGTGAACTAGATTTGCCGGGTTTTAAGCAAACAATTTTTTGGGATTAGTAAAAAAGTGAGATGTCAACAAGGGTAAGAAAATAGAGATTGACTAACTTATAATAATGGCAAAAGAGAGTGAAAAAATTTGCCTAAGTTATGCACTTTAAAAGGAACTTAAGCTTACTTGAACATTTGACCTTCAGCATAAGCAAATTCCCAAAAATTATTTTGCATGACTAAAATCTTTTGAAATTCCCATTGTACGAGCCGAACAATGCGATGCTAGCAAACTTCCGCTCTCGGTTCTTATCGCCACCGAAATAAACACAATTTACGACCGCCGCACATCCTGACCCTTCTTAATGCCCACAAAATGTGCTCGGTGCTCTGCAGAAAGCGACTGCAAGTGGCGGCCAGCACACAAATTGCTCCAAGTTAAACGAACTCGAAAGAATTCGCTTTCTTTGTATTTGATTGTCTCATTTTATTTCGTTTACTGTCCGGCGCGTGCAGCTCGGTGGCTTAATTATGCACCGAGACGTTCCGTTCAATCAATTAATCAATGCGGCGGCTAATTAATTTGTGCTTTTATTTGCATTTGCTTTCAGTGTGAACACACGCTGCCAAAAAAAAACAACAACAACAAAAGACGAACCAAAAAGATGGCGCCCACCATATGTTCGGAGAAGAAGCAGTTGCGCGAAACGAGGCGACATCATGGCGTGGCCACAGCCGCCATTTCATCCTCCACCGCTGCCACCGCATCCTCCAGTTCCTCCTCCTCGTCATCAACCGCAGGATCCACATCTGCAGCTGCCGCCACACAAGCCAGTTCGGTGCTTAACTTTGGTGAGTAAACATATGCAGTGAGAAGTTGAAAATAAATTAATTTTGTTCAAAAAATACTTTAAAAATGTTTTAAATTCGAGAGAAGTAAAAATTATATTTAAAAAGTTTAAATGGATACATATTAAAACTGAAAATCAATTTAAACATCAGTCAGTCACTATCTAGTAATTCGATTTGTTCAGTTCTAGTAGTCTGTGGTGGGCGCACGCGGCGTATACGTAACATTGCTTTACACATTCATTGCAATCTCCGCCTTGTCCCTTGCACTTTTTCCTCTTATTGAAAGCATCCCCTGCTGATTTGCTGTTGCGACTGCTACTGCTGCTGCGTTTCCCAGCTTTTTAGCTGCCCAGTTGCCAATTGCTTGGCTCACATTACTCGGTCATGTTTAATTAATTTATGTAAACTCGGCCACCCCCTCCGGGCACTGGGAACTGAGCTCTGGCCTCGTTGGCCACTTCCTCATTGCCATAACATATGTGCGGCTCGACGAGAGAACTCGGATGCACGTGCCCCGGTCGATGGGTTCGCACTGGGTTCTTCACGTGTTGGCCTCCGGTGTTCTATTGCTCCACGGAAGGCACGCGAGTTTGGGGTTATGCCACAACAATTTGCGTCAGCAATTGGCTCCAGCTGCTCTTCCGCCTGCGTTGGGTGTTGGGTAAGACACACTCGGTTCGCAAATCTGGCCGACACATTTATATAAGCGAAATGGATATGAGCTGTGTGGGTGGGGAAAAGGTGGCAGTCGAAAAAGGAAGGCAATTTATCAGGTATCCGAAATAGAACATTTCTTACTTAAGTGGTTGAATAAGAATACTCCCTTTTTGACATTATATATGTGTAATAATGTATTGACTTCAAAGAAGAGTGTTAGGTAACCATTGAAGTTACAATTAAATTGATGGTGCCTTTTACTGATAGTTTGAAACTCCATTGGAGCTCTCTTCTTAGAAACCTTTACACAGCACAAGCAAACGAACCTAAATGATTACTCATTACCAGAGTAAAGTTTTACGAAATTTACCTAGATTTTTTCCAAGAAAGATTTCACAAGCACACGATAACAGGGGCGTCGGATCGGGGGGCCTTCCACATAAGTGTGTGTCATAACCTCCAGCGTTGTTTTTGCCGCTGTGCCACTTTTGCCGGAGCTTTATTTACATGTTTTGCACATTTGCTCCGCTTGCTTTTAGCCAAGCTGGCTGATTTTTTTTTTCGTTTTGTTGCTGACTTTATTGGTGGCATTTTCAATGTGAATTCATTGAAAGCACCGCTGTTGTTGTTGCTGTCGTTGTAGCCTTTTTATTTGTGCTCGTTGCTGCCTGCTAATTTGCAGCAACACATAAAAATAAACCGAAAGAAATACACCGACACACGTCTAAAATAAAAATGGGTGTGACGAGGCCACGTGCAAGCCTCCCGGCGACATCCCCCCTTTTCGCTGCTTTCACTGGGAAGGCGTTGGTAGAACAGGGCGTGGCCCAAGGGGGTTGGAGTGTTGGCCAATGCCCTCGCCCTCTGCCTTCGGCCGAGGTGTTTAAAATTTTATTTTCAAGCGTCACCGGTGACTAATTCACCGAGAACGAAACGAGGCACGTGCAATCGCACTGCGATGACGAGGCCACAAGCAAAACAGCAAAAACATAAGTTCACTTAAAACAATGAAAGAAAAAAAAATACATTTTTTTAAAAAGGAATTTAATGTTAAGAGCTGACTAAGCTCTTCATATTAAATATTGGATAATTTATGCTATATATATTATAATATTTTTTTTTACGACAGCGTAAACTAATTTTATAACCAATTACCTCCAGACGTGCAGCCGATTTCCGGAACTTATGAAGTAGTCTGTTTACTTTGATAAATTCATGACGGAATTTTTGCTTTCGTGTAGCTACTGTGCAATGCGATTGCAAGTCAAAATAACAACCACAAAGTAAGTTATCTTCCGGAAAGTTAAGGGTTTTGTTTTGCAGTGAAAAAAAAGCCTTACTTGTTCACAACATTTTCGTTTAATGAGGAAATAGAAAAAATAGTGGGATCGTTTGCTTGGTTGTTATTTTTTTACGTTACGACCTTAGTAGGTTCAATTGTCTTTGAAGTTAAACACACGAAAATATATTTCACAACAGAAAAAAAATTATTACCGAATCATGGAATTGGAAATGGTAGAAAGTTTAAAAATCATGCACAATTGCGCCAAACTGCATTTGGACCAGATCGATCCCATAACCCGGACTTTGAAATGCAGAAGTCTTGAGATTTTTGATGTCGACGAAGATGTTAGTTTCTCTGATGTCGAGGAAGAGGAGCAAATGGAGCTGTCTGTCTACGAAGACGAACCAGACTCTCAAGATCGAGCATTATTGGCTGTCCATGATATAGACTGTCTGATCCGACAGATCGAGCTTATGCAGTTGGCCATTAGAAACAGGCAAGTTAAGGAAAGTAGCGAAAAAATCAGCGAAGAACCGGTTGAACAATCGTTTGAAATAAAGACAAAGGCTCAAATTCAGTGCTTGGATCTGGAAAATCTGGAAACAGCACTTGAAGTCAGGGTAAATCCAACAACCAAGCAGCCCAAGTTTCCACCATTGACCTGCGATGATTTACTGGAAGCAAGAAGCCTCGTCAAAGCGCATAATTGCATTCAACAAGAAATAGACCATATTGTCTGCAGATACCAACAACTACGGAAAATCAGTAGGCAAATGCGCAGAAACCTTCACTGCATGGGACTTGAATTAAAAGACTTAAGCTCCAAAGTGCAAGGACACCTCGAGTGGATCCGAGAAGTTGGCAAAGAGTTGAATGTTTGTAAGGAGAGGTACGACTATCTGATGAAGGCCAAGGTGTCCAAACTGGAGGCCAGGAAAACCTGTAAGGTTCATGCCGAAAGATTGACCAGATTCAATGCAGCCTATCTGACCAAAAGTAAACTGCGTCGGGAAATCATTGAGTTCAGCGAGGAGGTCAACGATCTAGTGCTCCTCATGGGTGAACTGCACCAAGAACTGCATCGAAGCATGGCTCTTTTCGAAACTCAACGCACCAACGAGCAGGAAAATCCAACCGAATTCCTGATTTCCACAGCCGTGGCAGGCAGTCTGTCCGATATGTTCCGTGAATCAGCCGAAAAGCTTAAGCCCTCCGATAAAATCCAAAAATAATGCAAAAGTTGATTAGGAAATATTGGTGGAGAAAATAAATAAATCACGTCCATTGGTATTCCAAAATTTTTTTTAATTTACAGACCCAAATTTTACTAGAAACTGAAATATAAAATGATGTGGGGAAGATGATTACCTTTGAAATATTTAACATTCTAATTACAGCAAATAAATACAGCAAATTGGTATTCCAAAATTTTTTTTAATTTACAGACCCAAATTTTACTAGAAATTGAAATATAAAATGATGTGGGGAAGGTGATTACCTTTGAAAAATTTAACATTCTAAATACAGCAAATAGTTTCCAAATGTAATTTTTCCTTACCTCTGCTAGGAAATTCCAACCATCTTAGCCTTGATACGTAAACAATTTTCCTCCATTTCGCTTCCCCATTGTCGTGAGGCGTCATCAGCTGGCCGTCGCCTTCGCGGAGCCACTCTCACGTTTCGCTGCACTGGGGCCGTGGTGCAGCACAAGCTCTATTTGCTGAAAGCAGGGCACACTCGGCTCCAGTTGGACCCGAGCGGTTTCAGGGTGTGTGCAGTGCCATGTGCAGCGTTAACTGCAGGCGGCGCGTCATCAATCCGACCCTGACCATAGACACACTCGCGGAATCGGCGATTGGGTGTCGTTTCTGCGGCGGAAATGGGAGCTGTTGTGCAGGTGCACTTTCAAAAATAATACAACACAAAAAAATTAATAAAAAATATATATATAACCATTTTTATCGTTTGCCATTATACAACTGGATTAATAAATAACACTAAATAAAGTAATTTTAATAAAGTATTTTAGTTTATTTTTTTTACTGCTACATAAATTCAGTTGTATTTTTTCAAGTGTTCTGCCTTCGTGACTCCTACAGCTGATGATTGCAAATAAGCATTGCAAAAGCGTAGCGATTGCAAATTGATGCGAAACGCGTTGTTGTCGTCGTTGGAACGCTTAACCCTGGAGCTGGTCACGTTTTTTGCCCACACGCGATGGCCACATTTACATGAAAGAAACCCACACATAAGCATTGGCTAGCTAACACTAAGACTTTGTCATAGATCGCGACATCGATTGACAACCGACTGATAAGCGTAGCACTTGACCACTCGACTGCACCGTGGGCATCGCGGTAAAGTGCTGAGCTCTCTACTTTTTTTTTTAAATAAATCGGAAAACCAGTTTAATTTTAGACCTCATTTTTATTCCATTATTGTGTTGCCAATCATCACAAATCGCTGATATTCCATAATATTATTACAAAGTATAAAAAGAGGTTTGTGAATGTAGTTCACATAATACAAAGTATGCATTCGAAAAAAATTTAACTAATAAGCAAAAATATAGTACACCAAACTAGGTTAAATATAACAAAAAAAAATTGTGAGTCACTTATTCTTTGTTCATGACTAAACTCTTTTGCTTTTGTCTCGTTTTTCATTGCAGTGGCCAAGGGTTCGATGAACTCGTCGAGTCGTCGACGCGCGGTGAGATTTCAAAGGAAACCGCCGCATGTCCTGACCCGAGGGGTGTCCTCCTCCACGGACACGAGCAGCGGGGTGGAGACGGAGATGGAGATGGAGGGGGACTCCGGGCAGGGGATGCAGCTGGAGGGGAACAGCTACTCGGATGACAGGATCCAATTTCTGCCGCAACAGCCACATTCCAGCAGCGATGACAACATCAAGACAGTATTACAGCCGACATCGGCCAGTGGATATAGTAGCAAACACAATCGATCGGCGGGGGCCAAAAACTGTGATCAGGATCAGGTGCCAAACCAGGTGAGCGTCGACGACGGCGACAGTGGGTACGAGTACAGTCAGGATCCGGTAAAGGAGCAACACCTTTACCACCAAAACAGCGAGGGTCTTCTGTCCATTGCCATCAAGACCATCAAGCTGGTGCAGCGCAACAAGCTGCTTCAGAAGCGACTGGCCCAGCTCCAGCTGGAGACCTCGGAGTTCATTGCCTCGGTGCTGGCCAACCCGGAGAACCGCCACTTCCGGGAGAAAATCTCGCCCAAGGCGGAGGCCAAGGTCAGCAACATGCTGCTCCGCCACTGAACGGCCGATTTTCTTTTTGATCTGGAAAAACCGAAACAAAAGTTACCCTTTCCTGGACGTGGGAGAGTGTTGAAATTTGAAACCGAAATGCAGTTTTTAGGGAATATTATTTACCTAGAGATGGAATACATTCAGCACAAGCTAGTTAGCAACATGTTGCAGCAACATTGAAAGACCGTAAAATAATATTGCCTACTTATGGGCTGCGCAGGCAAAATGCCTCACAAAATGGAAAATTTAGGTAAAACCATATCGAAATATAACATATATTTTTTAAATTATGTATCCGCCCGAACTTCTAGTTGGTAATGCAACTTAATTACCTTCCCAAAATTCCACAACATAAATTTTGTTAATTTATTATTAGCAAAAACATTTCCAACTGAAATTTAGGCTAAAATATATTTTTATTTTATTTATTTAAATATTATACCCATTTTTTATACAAGTAATAAATTATCAAAAATTTAAATTTCCATCACAAAAAAGGTAAACACATTTTTTCCACGCCCAGAGAAACCATTTTTAGGGAACTTTGTTTCGGAAAATTCGTACTGATTAACTTTATGAAAAATGCATCAAAGCTTAACAATTTAAATATACAACATACATACAAAATCGCTATGCTAACATTTACAAAAGAAAACATATTTATATAAATCCAAAAGTCCAAAAGTGTATCTGTAGTCGTTAAGTATAATACATTTTATGTTTTACAGTTTCTACACTCAAGAATTAATTTATAATAAATCTAACTACTACATATATCTAGATAAACAAACCAGGCATAATCAATGAAACCCTACGACGCTTTTCGCTTTATACAACAAATAGTTATAGTGTAACTTGATTGACATGCAAAGCAATTGGTTTAAAAAAAAATACGTAAATCATTTCGGTCTGAAGTAATGAAACCGAAAACTTTTAATAAATATGCCTAAGTATCTATGAACTATCAAAATGCTACTAAGCAAAGCAAATCAAAGCAAAACCAAAATGTAATTACCCTCAAAAACAAATCTTTCCAATTCTAAAACTTTTAATCAACTCAACGTAACTGGCATTTCCACAAATTAAAAAAAAAAATATCAACTCATAAAATCCACCACAAAAGATTTCATCAATAAAATTAATAAGGATTAAACATATTTTGCGTTTACTTATTTCTCTTTTGGGGTTTCTTGACTCGAACGCAGTTTGAATAAAGCAAATAAGTCATGGCTAAGTGAGTACGCGTACTTTGGTGTGTCAATAACACCCAATCAAAGCGTTCAAAGACCGTCTCGGCATCCAATGAATTGACATGGAGTCTTTCATGGAGTTCGTCACGTCAGCATGCGTGTTCTGGAAAATGTTAGTCATGCGGTAAGTAAAGTTAAAAATATATATATGAATTAATAAAAATATTAAATTGAAAATAGATTTCTTATGAAATTGTTCTTGTTATTTAACATTTTCTGCTTAATAAAGTACAAGATTTTTGGGAACATCCCAGTGTTTGCCGGCTGTAACGCATATCCCCTTTCAATACCCAGAAAATTATTCAGCAATTGTTTCAAGTTCATTCAATTAAGTCGGGCCTCCTTAGCCTGGCTAAGACCTTTTGAGTGTCATTTGGCGATTGGATTTTGATTATGAAGGTGGAACACCCTTGTCTGCACGTTGACTAACCTCATCTTGGCTTTTATTTTTGGCCACAATCTTGACACCCAAAGCACTCGGCTCGATTTCAGCCCTCAGACGCGTAATCATAATTTTACCAAAACGCTTGTGACGTTGGTCAATCATCGCGTTGCGTTTATGGCATTGTGGGTGCTCCATCACCGGGGCTATTATTATTGTTAGTTTACAGGCATTATATTGTTTTATTGGGTTTTTTACGCACTCTGGTCACGTCTTCATCTGTTCGAGACACGTGATTTATGGGCACAAGTACTGGGCGCACCGACCCACTTGACACTGAAGAGTTTTTATTACCCGACCGGCAAACGGTGCAGAAACTGTTGATTTGTGTTTGTTTTGATGCCGTGATTTGGATTCGTATTTGGAAATTTGTATTATTTGATATCCGTCTGAGCAGCCACCGTTTGTTGTCTTTGGCTGCCGAGCGTTAAATCGTTGGTATTTGTGTATCAAATCAGATCGGTGAGCTGGTTACCTTGGCAAGGTCGTTTGTCAAGTGCTTTGGGGAGTGTTTGTCCAAGCGATTAAAATTGTTAATATTAGAAATGAGTCACTTGAAGTGGCCTATAAATAACGTTCACTCGGACATTAAGTTTACTGGGCAAGATGCATTTGTGTGGCTTGTTTGCTTGAGCCAATTTTTACACTTGACGTTAGCATTGGAAACTATTTGAGTTTGCTAATTTGCAAATCGAGTATGTAGAATGTAAATTCGTTAGCAAATATTTTATAAGTTAGGCTGTGCTAATTACGAGAAGGTTCTTTAGATGTTTAATAAATATTCATTGAAGCAGAAGTGGATAGTTTTGGCCCCATATCTTTGACCTTTAATTTCATTTTTTTTTTCAATTTAATTTGTCTGCTGAAATTGTGCTGTATCACCTTTAGCTTCTGGCCAAATATCACCATATTGGAAAAACCAGCCAAGTGATTATCCATTTCTGTCTTTTGTTAAGTAGTTAAAATTTAATTAGCAAGGCTCATTGTTTCCAGCCTTTTATCTTTAATCAATTATCAGGTCTCGAATTGAGCACTTTGTAGAGTGAGTGTTTGTACTCCATAGAAGTGAATGAGCCCGTCTATTTTACTCTTGCCGAGTCATGCCAAATGAATATGCATAAATGCTGGGCAAATATCAAAAAGAGCAGTGCAAAATGCATTTAAACCGATTTGTTGGCTTTGTGGCTATAAAAAGAAAAACAGGCAACATTCATGTCCAGCACTCAAGGTCAGCTATTTTGCGATTCACCGAAATCGCCAAAAATTTGAGAAAAAATGTGTGTGTTGTGAAAGTATCTGCGAAATCGGGCGAGCTAGAGCCAAACATTTTTTCCAGTTGCCCATTAAAGAAACGATTTGGCTGTTGTTTGTATGCAAATGAGTCTGGGTCAAGCTTTTATAATCGGCTGAATGCCATCTTAATGGTCTTCGGGCCCATGTAACCCAAGCGATCTGGTGAGGTCATCTGCGAAGCCGGAAAAGCATCTCTGCAAACATGACATTGAACTTCACCGGCAGTCCAATGACTCGTTCCATTACTTTTGTAGTTCCAATAATAATTCAAAAATCGAAAACCGTAAACAGCGGAAGCACTTTAATTCACCTACTTGATCTTTCGCACCTCCACGCTAATAAGACGGCGACAAATCGCTGATCACCGACTTGTCCATCCCGATTAGGCTTACAGCGATCATCGAGTTGCTAATCAACTTCAACATGCAGAAAATTCCCCAAAAATAGCTCGTAAAATGGCAAAAATTTGCAAGTTCATCCGATGAACTTGAAATGAGATGGTCCATCGCCGAGCGACGCACAAATGTATCTGATATCTTTTTTTTGTGATCGCCCGAACGGAGCGCGTTGACCAACTAGCCCGGCAGCTACCCGTGTTGTTACCCGTGTTTTTTTTCACTTTTTTTGTTATTTTATCTCGCATAGGCTTCAACGTTGCAGGCCGGGCAGCGAAGTTTCATTTAACCGCTGGACTTCAGCGGGCGCGCATGCGCATTCGTAAGATAAATCGGTGAATCGATCTAGAGTATCTGCCAATATTCGTGACCCATTTTCGTACAGAGCAAACGCGCATATTTCGTAAGTGCATTCTATCGCCAACATTTCGCATGGATTTTGCATGGGCAAACGTGTTTAGAATTTCACAAGAGAATTTGTGACAAATTGTGCTATAATGTGCCTATGTGTTCAAATCTGGTCTGCTGACGTAAACTCTATATCTATACTAATATTATAAAGAGGTAACATTTGTTTGTTTGTTTGTTTGTTTATTTGTTTGTTTGCAGGGAATAGGCTCCTGAACTACTGGTCCGATTTAAAAAATTCTTTCACCGATAGAAAGCTATATTATCGTGGAGTTAAATAGGCTATAATTTATTTTGAAAACAATTAGGGATCCGTAAGAAAATTGCAATATTGTCGCATATAAAGTGAGTTGCTACCTCATCACACTGACAAACACGCTCCCTTAGCATTTTAACTCAATTTCTGTGTTCACTGTGAAATTGTTAAAAAAAAAAGAATTTTTATTCAATTTAAGTTGAACTGTGAAAATTATGTGGATCGTGCATTTGAGGATAAATTCCCCACTCTGTCCATAGTCCGAAATGCTTAGAGGACGACGTGCAAACATTGGCCGCAGACATCCAAGCCAGCAACAAGTATATTCACAAAACTTAAGCGAAGAAAGACAAATGAGCTCATGGAGATTACTGACATCATTCAATCGCTTGGCATTCCAATATGACCCCACTGCGAAATACAGTGATAATGAAAATTTAGAAATTGGACCAATGGCGACTATATACCGATATTGCAGTGCGTTAAAGTTTAAAAGAGAAACGGCTGGATTGTGCTGCGCAAGTGGAGAAGTCAAACTGGAAAAGTGTTAAATAACCATCTTTCTATACTTCCATATATTTGAAAAATGTTGCAACATTGACTTTTATGTTGTTAAATTGTGTTGACCAGCGAAGCGGACACAGGCCCTCTAGCACTCTATATTTAACAAGTTTGCTTTTAATGAGAACTAGTCAAGTTGCTAAACCAACAAAGAAAGAAAAAAAAACAGTTCTGCGGTTTTCGGCTAATGAAATGCATTTGTGTTGCGGGTAGAGTGCAATAAATTGTGCATGCTCGGAATTTTTCAAGAAAATATTACTGAATTTAATTGTGGTGTCTATTTCATATTCTTGTTATTTTGAACTAAAAAGAAAATCAATTGTCCATGCAAGCAATTAGTGGTATTAATTTTATTCATCCAATTATATAATTTGTTAAGCTATTATTAATGTTGTTAAGTTTGAAGTTTTATATGCAATATATTGTGGTGTTATCAACTTTATGAGCCTTGTGATTTTTACAGAGATAATTTTTGGGCAATCCAACCGCAATGTGTTAATTCCCACTAATGGGCTAATATACTACTCATAAGCACAATTAGGTTGGAAATCAGATTTAACAAATTTCATGTTATAGTTATCGAAATCTTCAGGCGGCACGTCTCAGCCAATTAAGTCGTGTTTAATGACCCGCATTGATTGGCGTGGAACTGATAGCCAGAACCTTAATGAATGTAACGCCCTTCGGAAGGCGGGCCTGAAAGTGAAACCAGCTCAAAGTTGTTCTTTAATCGTCGTAACCGATCGGCTGAATCGAAATTCAAGGTTTAGGCCAAGTTATAGAACTCGGGTAAAGACGAAGCCGAGGTATTTCTTTATTTAAAAGTGAATCCGATGAATCGTTGAACGAGTTTTAAACTTGGCTACTGTATCGACTCATTCAACTACTTGCCGGCTGTATTGAGGTTAATTGAAATGATTTATTAACATTTGTGCAATTTTTGTCGGCGCTTCGAAAAACCCCAAATTGAGATAATTTGCATAAAAATACATTTGGCGCCCACAACTTAAAGTAATTTAATTTCGATTTTTTTCCCAGTTTTTTTTTTTTTTTTTGGTAATATTGTTGTTGTTTTGTGAAGATCCGCGTGCGGTTTATGGGTCAACGCTTAAATATTTGCTGGGTCTCCGCGATCGATATATTTTGATTTTATTTGCAATGTTTGCTTTGATTTGGTTTCTTCTTCATTTCGTTTTGTTTTGACCACGAACCGGTTGGCTAGCATTAACTTAACTTCGCTCCTTTTGCGAAGTCATTATTTTTATTGGCACTTTTGATTTTCGCGATTTCTTGTAACCCCAAAACCTGTTGAACTTGAGCTCAAAACGCGATCCGGACGCACCGCAGTCGATCGGGCGTAAATACCTTTCAGAACATAAAAAATAAAAAAAGAGGGGGAAAGTGAAATCGTTCTCAAGGTCGTTGCAATTTACGTGCAGCTGCTAATCAGGAGTTCTGGACTTACTCAGAATAATAGCTTTCAATAGTTATGTACATTTTGCTATATACTTTTCTACTTTAAATTCTTAACAGCACAACTCTTGCTTTGTGGCAATACCATAAATATTAAATGTAACAATGCGAAAATGGTTTTTTGAACGAAAAAAAGTCATAAATAAGATAATACAAATCAAAGCATAACAAAGGTAAAATTGTTTTGCTTTGACGTTTTTACAGCAAACAAGTAATTAAAATTGAAGCGAGGCAACATCATTATTTTTGTTGTATGGTTTTATAAAAAGCTGTTAGTTGTTTCCTGGAATTTCTTAAAATTTGTAAACTCGTAATTGAAAAAAAAAATTGTTATTACCAATAGTAATTTTACTACATTTTTTTTGCAGTTTAAATAACCATGAGATTCTTGGGAGTGCTGATTTTCTCCCTGTGCTGTTTTCAAGCTTCGAGGTGTCAACTTCTGGTGGATTTGGCCCGTGATTTCGAGACATCGCTGCTGAACACAAGGATTCCGGATACCAGTCGCTTTCTGCCGGAGTATGACTTCATTATCGTGGGAGCTGGTAGTGCGGGTTGTGTGCTGGCGAACCGGTTAAGTGAGATTTCCTCTGCGAGTGTTCTTCTTCTGGAAGCTGGAGATCAGGAGACCTTCATCAGTGACGTCCCACTTACGGCAGCTCTCACCCAAATGACTCGCTACAATTGGGGGTACAAAGCCGAGCCCACGGAACACGCCTGTCAAGGGTTAAAGGGCGGCGTTTGCAATTGGCCAAAGGGGCGTGGCGTTGGGGGTACCAGCCTGATAAACTTTATGCTATATACTCGTGGTCATCGCAAAGATTATGATGAGTGGGCAGCTGCTAATAACTCAGGTTGGTCCTACGACGAAGTACTTCCGTATTTCCGAAAGTCAGAAAGGATTGGCATCCCAGAGCTTTATAAATCACCCTATCATGGTCGAAATGGTCAACTAGATGTGCAGTACACGGACTACAGATCGCAGCTCCTTAAAGCCTTCCTTAAATCCGGCAGGGAAATGGGCTACGATATCACGGATCCGAATGGCGAGCATCTGATGGGTTTTGCGAGGTCGCAGGCCACCATTCGAAATGGCAGGAGGTGCAGCACAAGTAAGGCTTTCATTCAACCGGTGGTTCAGCGGAAAAATCTACACATTTCCATGAAAAGCTGGGTCACCCGACTGATCATCGATCCGGTTACCAAGACTGCCACTGGAGTGGAGTTCGTAAAACAGCGACAAAGATTTGTAGTGAGAGCTAAAAAGGAGGTGATCCTCTCAGCAGGAACTATCGCCAGTCCGCAACTTTTGATGTTATCCGGAGTGGGTCCGGCGGATCACCTTCATGAGCACAATATCACAGTGGTGCAGGACCTTCCGGTGGGTTACAATCTGCAAGATCACATAACCGTAAATGGTCTGGTGTTTACTGTGAATGATTCAACGGTGAATGATGCTCGTCTGCTGAATCCCTCGGACATTTTTCGGTATATCTTCAATGGACAAGGACCCTATACTATTCCCGGTGGCGCTGAGGCATTCGCTTTTGTACGGACTCCAAGTTCAAAATTTGGTAAATTTATAACAATCTTCATATTGCTAAAACGAATTTAACCTTTTGATTACCCCTAAAAGCCAAGGACTATCCCGACATGGAATTGGTTTTGGGTGCAGGATCCCTAAGCGGAGATCGTTTTGGCACCATGAGAAATTTGTTGGGCATCACCGATGAGTTCTACGACTACATGTTTGGGGATCTGCAGAACAAGGAAACCTTCGGCCTAGTTCCAGTGCTCCTGAGACCCAAAAGTCGGGGCAGAATATCTTTGCGGAGCCGCAATCCTTTTCATTGGCCAAAAATGGAACCTAATTTCATGCATGATCCGGATGACGTAAGAGCGATGATCGAAGGAATTGAAATGGTAGATGTATTTTAATAAACATTTTTGGAATGCTAAACTCATTCTGTGACTTCTTTGCAGATCCTTAAACTGGCCCGATCGAAGCCCATGGTGAAGATGGGAACTCGTTTCCACGATCGTCCTTTTCCGGGATGTCAGCACTTGAAGTTCGCCAGTAATGAATACTGGAAGTGCTGTCTGCGAAGATATGGTTCCAGTTTGCAGCATCAATCGGGAACTTGTAAGATGGGTCCTGCCGAGGACACAACTTCCGTGGTGGATGCCCAACTCAGGGTCCACGGAATCCGGGGATTGCGGGTTATAGATGCTTCCATACTGCCCAATGTTCCGGCTGGTCACACAAATGCCATTGTGATCATGGTGGCCGAAAAGGCGTCGGACATGATCAAAGATGCCTGGCGAATGAAGATCAGCCCCCCTAACTCCTGATTTAATTTTTAAGCCTGTTATTTATTATTTAGTCGAGCCATTAAGCCAAGTTCTCATGTGATACCTAAGCTAGCTTGTAAGGTTTTCATTGGGTTGTAAATGGGGTTTCTTTTGTGATTGGTGTAAGGAACAAATATTTATTCAATGCACTAATATGTAACTCTTTAAGTATTAGGAGTTTCTTCCTTTTTCACATTAAATTAAACTGTAGTTAAAAAAACTTGGATTTCATTTAAATTAATCCGCCAAAACTGTAAGTTATTCAAAGACGTTTTATATATTTTTGTAGCAGCCAACATTTGTTGCTCTGCTCAAAGCTTTTTTGTACAAATTTATGTAAATAATTTCACAATACAGTGGCGCTTCTTTGTTGGAAGGTAGGTGGCGTGTTTCACGTTTTTGTGCTTTACGTATCGTAACGGCTTTTGTAACGTAAGGTTATTAAAACGCCAAAAGTGGAACCGAAATAAACCAAGATATCTTGTACTCAGAAAAGGTGGACTTGCCCCAAATTTAGCTTCTTCTGTTACCAAAATAAGCAGTGTCACGCACAGGCATATTTCCGTTCACATGGGACACAGGCGGAGGCTAATACCAATGGCTTTGCGTGCCCCATTGAGGATTGTTTTTAATGACCGCTCGCCGGGTAATTGCTGACCTCCCCCTTAGAAACAGAGACAAAGCACCCGCCTAGCAACCGTTGCGTTTTAGAGGTTCCTTAACCCGGCCATAAAGCTAACCCACTTTGTCTGGCCGCATACGTATTTATTTGTATGTGAGGCCATGGCCACGTGGCGTATGTGGAATATGCTTAATTAAAATTAAAAAAAGTAGGCGGGAGTAACGGTTTATAGTTCTCAATTTAGATCAGAAAGCTATTTAAAAAAACCCTGCTATTAAAAGGTTACTTTAAAAATTCTTAAATTCTTTACGAAAAGTATTTAATGCCCGAAATTCTTCAGACAACAAACACTCAAAGGGCCAGCAAAATCAAAAGACCACCTTACCTTTCTGCATACTGATTGATTCCGCTAAAATATTTAAGCCAACCTTACAAACCCGAATAATCGAGCGTTGCTGTGGGCAGGATTTGGCATACTTGCGGTGAAATAATTCTGCGGGTGCGAACTGGGATTTCTGTCGGTGGCAAACGCGCTCTATTCAAATTACCAGGATGCCCGTGCCTGTGGTCAAAGTTCAACAATGCGACATTTTGGGGCGCAGATTCCCAATATACGCTGTCAGCCACAAAACAATCCAATTACGCCCTCGGTTCACTGCAGTTTCCGAGCTAATTGATTTCGAAAATAATGGGGTCCAAATGAAATGGAGTCTTAATGAAAATCGGGCAGGTGATTGGGTAATTAGAATGTCCGTTTAACAGCGTTTTTACGCCAGCTCCCTTACATTCTGAAGGGGACTTCTAGCCAATGTTTTTATCCGCCTTTTCAGCTGTTGCTGTAAAAGAGGGTAAAACGGATGTTACCCAAGTGAGGCAACTTAAAGATAAGACTGGAAAATGTTGCACTTAAAAGTGGGGGTTGCATGCAAAGCAGCTCACTGAGTTTTTACCCTATCTCCCCTGGCTGATCTAATTAGGAATCTTATGATGTGAGAAGGCGACTGAATGGGTCATAGAATGCCGTGCTCCATGAACTGTGCAATCAGGGGCGTCTATATCTAGGAAGTAGTGTGTGTTTGTAACCTTGCAACAAGCACTGAATCATTTTCCTCACATGCTTCGTTGCCCGTCAGATGATTTAATAAACGTTAAACCAAAATAAGAAATCTTTTTAAATTCCTATACAAATGTTAAGTATCAATTATTGACATTAAAATCCCTCTTACTGCATTTTACATTTATTTTTATAAAAAAAATGAAAAGTCTTTACCATTTTTGTAATAGTTTCAAACTTTGTTTGCCAACATTTTGTTTCTTTTTATTTTATGCTCGGCTTACTCGCCAAACTGTTCGAAGCCCTCGAAGAATGCAACGGAAACGGAGAAGAGTTGTAAAGTTGGCTTAAAAAAATTAAAAGTGGCCAGTGAGGTCTAGAGAACTGACCAGTCAAAGGCTCAACGAAAGGGGATTCAACGTTCCGGCTTAGTAGTTACTTTAAAAATGTTTCTGTTGCAGAAAAGTAGAAACTTGCCAGTAAAAAAACAGCAAAGTCCTGAAAAGTTGGATAAAAGTTTTCTCCTTTTGTGTGCAAATATTTAGCACGGAAATTGCACTTGCAACAGGAGAAGTCCTTGAAAAGAAACGAAAAGGATTGCTGGTGTGATAATTAAATGCGCACAAGGAGCAAAAGGAAACTTTTGTTACCGAGTTGCGGTATGTTGGACTAATTGCATTATGGTGTAATGAATTAAAAGAGGCTTTCAATTTGTCACTCTGACTAAATGGTTGAATTACTTAAAAGTGTGCCTTCATAACCGAATCACAGTAAAGGTAGCGTTTTATTATAGTAAATGTGGCTTGAAGAAGTAACACTTTGCACACTTTTGGTGAAAGTTTTTCCCAAGATTTCGTGGAAAAATGGGCACAACATATGTTGGTGTCAATGCCGGCGAATTTTTGCCGAGTTTACGAGGCATTTCGCAAAGTACACGTCAAGGCGGTAAGTGCTCGGGAAATATGGCAGCCTAGGCCAGGAGGGCGTTATAATTTATGGTAAGCCAATAAAAATAATTGAAAAACATTAATGCCAAGCCGCCTGAGACTGGCAGCGGTTAATGGCGAGCATTGAACTCCGGGCCCGGCCCAGAAATGTCCTTGTCTGGCTGAAACAAAAGGCAACTCCTGCGTGCTCCTTCTGGCCGCTTCATCGATTTGCTTGGAGGGGAATCGAAGTGAAATCGGAGCTGGCACTAACCAGGCTACCGGAATATTCAAGTAATGGCTGGCAATAAAAAAAGGAGCCATAAAAAGGCGAAGAGAGCAGTGGCAGAAAAAGTCAAAGTTGAAGGAGGCCTTCTTGAGTTTCGAGGCTGTGAAAGGTTTGAAATAAATAATATATTAGATGCGGGAAACGGCTGTCTGTATTGATTTCAAATAAAATCTGTATAAAGGTTACAAAAAAGTGTGTAACTCTGATACGTTGACAGTAACAACACAGCTGGTTAAAATAATACCAGATAATTGAAGGCCCTTAAAATTAGCGGTGTTTAACTTAATTAAATCTTATCATTAAAGCTAAAATAAGATTGCAAGTCAACCATGCATATTTTTATATAAAAATAGCTCAAAGTTTTAACCCTTTTACCTGTCGAAATGACAGTCACCTGTCAGGATACCCAAAGGAATGACAAACATTCAGGTGATGCGATGGCAGAAAGTTTTTGCTCCTGAAGGCCACATCAAAGAACATTCTGTTCATCGAAAACTTTGATTGAAAGGCCAGCAAAAAGCGTCTATTGTTTGGGCAAAGCAAACTGACTGAATGAGTGAATGCCTAAAGTTGCCTTCCCTTAAATCCACTGCTAAACCGAAGGGCTTTTTAGACTTTAAACCGTGAAAGCCCAAAAAACAGCAATTAGCTTATTAAAATTATGTGCAAAATTAGAATGAAGGCAAAAAAAGGGTGACACACAATTTAATCCAATTTGAGAACGGAAATCCTTTCAGGGATTAACTCATTCTGCGCAAGGCATGTGGCTTTTATCTTTTTATTAAAAAACATGCTTTTAAAATATCAAATTTAATCGGCGTCAGCGAATTGTGGCATCGTATTGCCGTTCATAAATCAAACCCCAAACATTTTGATATCCTCTGTGTATACTGTTTTATTTTATTGTTGAGTTTTTTTTAACTCGGCTAATGCAGCGACTCCCTTGAGTATTTTTGCCTTTCGCCACCCTTGAAAAGGACTTTCCGCAGACACGTACGCATATTTTTGGTACTTTTAATGGCAAAATTTATTAACTTCGTAAAAAAATGTGGGTCTGGGATTACTTTTGAATTATTTATGACTGCTTTCGGTGGGTAATAAATGCCAAAGCCCAGTGAGCTCATGATAATAAACATATGATTTGCTTGAAGAGATTTGTGGTGATTAACAGCGTATCAGATCTCACTTGTTTGGCCAATTAGCGAACATTTGACTGAATTAATGGACTGACATTTGGAAATTGGTCAATATCATCGTCGGACTCTGGGGCAATCAACAAATTTTGTGTCCATGAAGCGTTTCGCTCTTGGTGTGGACTTAACGCAATATAAATGGTAATTTCCTGTTTTAATTTGTTCCGGGGGACCATATTTGCAGTTTGGACATGGGACATTCAGTGATAGTGCACGAAATAATTTATAGCTAACTCATTGAGATGTGTTAGGGGAAAAGCCTGTTGCTGTCAGAAATCCGTTAAATATAAATGAACTAACAAAACTCATATGAAAACGAGAACTTGTGGCTTTTCGCTATCTCAATATAAATACAACAATATTTTTAAAATATGTTTAAGTGTTTGTAGGCTGTAGGCCTTACCCAGATTAAATGCTTAGCTCGGGCCTAAAAAACATTTAAAGCCTTCAAATCCAAAATTTTCCCCCATTACTAAACTTCCGATTCCAGCTGCTGACATGGAAGGCTAAAGCTAATATTTGCTTGCCGTATTTTAAATTAGGGATTTCGGCTGCATGTTTACGGTGGCCACAACTCACGAACACGTGCCCAATTTCGTCCTGGTTTCATTTGGGCCCAGGTGGCGTTAACCCTTGTAGGTCCTTTGTTGACTCGTCGCTCGGCGCCTTTTCATTAATTTTCGGATGCAAATGCAGCGTTTTTTGTTGGGGCTTAGCCAAAATGGGACCAACATCCATACCTTTTCACCTTTCATCAGCGAAGTGCGGTTCCTGACAGTTCTCAAAGCAGAAGAAAGATTTAAGCTAATAATGTTAAATGTACTTGCCAGAAAATTTAGTTAGCAAAACCTTTTAGTTAAAATTTAAAAATAAAATCAAGGTTTGCTTAAACTTAATGAGACTTTTATTTCTTAATCGATTTAGTGATTTCCGTTGAATTGTCAATACAAAAGTCCATAGAAAATGTGAATTCCAATTTCGCAGCAAACTCTTTGAGCTGCCATTAGCGGCTTTATTTTTTGGGGTCAATAGATTTGGTGTCTGTTTGAGCCCGCTTCATTAAGCGCTTTGGCTGTTGACT